CAACTAGATTGAAGAACAAAACGACAGCAACTTGTCTGTTCTCCTTCCCCCAATTCCCCAGCACTGTTCCCATCCCCCCAATTCCCCAATAAAAATCTTTAAAGAAAAAAAAAAGAAAGAAACGTACCAAGGCAACCCAAGGGAAAAGGAATTTATTTTTCCCAAATGTTGCAGGAACAACTAGGTAACTATATGGAAAGAGTAAATCTCTAGCCTGACCTGTCACCAAACATAAAAATGTATCATAGATCTAAACATAAAAGCTGAAACTATATAGCTTCTAGAAGAGAAACAAGAGGATATCTTCATGACACTGGGATAATCAAATATTTCTGAAGACACAAAAAGCACTAATCATAAAAAAAACTTGATAAATTGTACTACAAAACTAGAAAACACGTGCTCATCAAATGATACCATTAAGAACATGAAAAGGCAAGCCACAGACTAGGAGAAATTATTTGCATAATATATCTAACAGAATTAATATTCAGAATGTATAAAGAACTATAAATCAATCAAAAACAAAAAAAAACATTAAAATGGACAGAATAGTTGGACACTTCACAAAAAAAGATATTGAAATGGCCAATAAGTATGTGAAAAGTTGCTTAGTCATCAGGGAAATGTAAATTAAACCACATGTTACATTACTACAAAGCCACTAGATGGCCAAAATTTAGAATATTGACAGCAGTAATTGTTGGCCGGAATTTTGACCACCTAGAATTCTCATACATTGCTGGTGGAATAAAGTGGTACAGTCATTTTTGGAACATTTTTGGCAGTTTTAACTTTAGACAAACACATACTGTATGACCCAGCCATTCTACTCCTAGGTATTTACCTGAGAGATACATCAACACTCGTCTACAAAGACTTGTACAAGAATGTTACTAGAGCTTGTACTTGTACATCAATTTAAAATTTAGTTTAAAAATAATGAGTATAAAGAAATATATTTTCAGATAAACAAAAACTGAGTTTATTACCAGCATAACTACACTAAATGAAATTCTGAAAGATGTACTTCAGGAAGAGGGAAATGATTCCAGGGCAAAAAGGGATGATTTAAAAATCTAAACACATAAGTAACTAAATC